TAATCTCCAGTTTATAAATTATTGGCAAAGATTCGGACGGGATGCTGACAGGTAAGCTGCCTCGAAGTGTGAGAGGGAGGAGGAATAAAATATGAAAAAATTTGTTTGTCTTCACTGAGGGGATAATGAGTTTACTAAGGGGATAATGGATTCATTTACTGATTTCTTCATCCTTCTCAAGCTACATCCCGTTCATTGTCAAATTTGCATTTTTTTGATGAACCATGGAGCTGGAGAACTGGCTTTCATGCTTTTAAAAATATGCTTGAAAGTATAAGCATCAGTTTTTCACGAATTACCAAAAAGCAGTCAACAGCTGTTTTTAAGTAGGCTGTTCATAGGAATTGCATAGAAATTTTGACGATATAGGAGAACTCCTTGTGCAGTGGACAAAGCTGTTCACATACTTTGTTGTTATGAGGATGTTTTAGAAAGCAACTTGGGCACTGGTTTTTCTGATCCGATTTAAACGACAAACACTTATGAATTACGGGAGGCAGAAGATTGCTGCGCCAGTGGTCGAGCTGTGCAACGATCATCAACTTGAGGAAGTCGCTGAAATAGGCACAGAAGAAATAGCGTCAACAGCGGATACGGCAGTCAAGGATGAACTGGTTCTCGATGAGCGGAAGATATCTATCGATATCCCGATAACGGTTGACGTGAAAGTCGATGAATCTACCCTGGAATTGCAATCGCCAACTTTAACAAAATATCCTGAGGTGACCATTTAATTCAGCTAACTGTGCACGAAAAGGTGCTTATGGCTAGTTGGTCAAGTGTTGCGGGATAATTTCGCTTATTAGTGGGAACTGGTCAGTACAGTTGACAGCCGCTGCATTAGTAGTATTGCAGATGGACAAAAATAAAACTGTGCTGGCGATATTTTTTCAAGCTTTAGAGCTTGAGCTTTAGAGCTCCTAGCCTAAATGTTATCCAAACAGTTTAAAATCAACGTTCGCTAAAACCTAGTTTATCGATATGCAAGTGATTGTTTCGGGCCCAGCTTCTCCCTAGAAAAATTTGAAAAGAGGAACATGCAAACCTTGCACTAGTTACTTGTTCTCAACATACTGCTTAGGCAATTTTTAGTGCAGTGCCTTAGCATTATTTTTTGCTAGAAAAATGATTAAATTCAAAAAGAGGGATGATAACTTCTGGATGCATGTGCATTCCATAAAGCATTTAATGTAATCGCAAAGATTTCTCGGAAAATTTGGTACTGAAGACACCAGAAATTGTATGAGGTTTTTTATCAAAACAATGTAATTTTCAGGAAAAGCTAAGCAGTGAAATACCGAAAAAGAAACTAAGAGAAAGCAAAGGAGGAGATAAGGTTACGACGACCAAGAAGAAAGCCAGAAAGCACAAGGAACGAAGTGCAGGAAAATCCGATGAAATATCTAGCCGACCGAAAAAACTGCACAAAAAGGAGCGAACAAAAACTCCATCCGACCAATTACCACATGATGAACTGAAAAAACAGTCCAGTACAACAGAGGTTACAATTCCAGAAGCAGGAAGCAGTGTAAAGATGACAGAAGTGCAAGTTGATATTTCCAAGGAGCCTGTGCTGATGAACTATGAACTGTGTACTGGCGTAGGAGCATCAGAAGTTGCTCAACCTCTCGTCGTATCATTTCCCGGGCCCAGTTTAGCTGAAAGTAGTGGCAACGAGATGAAGAAAGTAACAAGAAGAAAAGGTACCGCCTCGCCGTCTTATGGTAGCCGCTCTTCACAAGAACTCACTACTCGCAGTGGTTCCATGAGTAAACTTAGTGGAATCAACAAAAAAGGCAGTTCGGTTGCCGCAATTCTGTCAATGTTTTCGGAAAAAGCTGAACAGGAGGCTCGACGATTTGAGCGTCGGCCCTCTCGGCAGGTAAGGACATTTCGTGACGTGGAAAAGCCGTCATCCAGGAAGGCGTCACTGGCACCGCCAATTCCAGAAGACGAAGCAGGCTTTGTGAAACGCCCTTATCGAGCTCCGGAAGAAGATAAAGAACGGGTTAAAAATTTGATTGAGCTCCATCGTCGTGGTTCCGCCGATCGGAAACAGGTGAACATAGAGGAAATCGTAGCCGTCAAACATGAGGAAATTCTTCAGTGCAGCAGCGGGCTCAAGAAACGCGAAAGCGAGACGCTGAAGAGTACTGAACGGAAAGATGCAGATTCGAGAAGAAGTGGACAAGAGGCGAGGAAGAAAGCGGAGCGAAGATCAGAAAGTACGGAACGAAGACCACAAGCAACGGAAGGCAAAAATGCTTTTAAAAGAAAAGCAAAACGAAAAGAATCAGCGGCTGACGCAGAGAAAAGCAAAATTAACGAAAGCGGGGTTGTCGCTAAAGTGATTGTTCCTGGATTGCCAGTACCAAAATCGCACGTTGTGGTGGAGAACAAATTGGTAGCAGCGTTCGCGGAGGAAAGCAGCAGTAAAATAGCAGTGCCTCAAGCAGAATGTAACTACAGGAATGGGACACCGTCAAAAAAGAGCGCAAGGCAACGAAGAGAACAAACGGACGGCAAACAGGATGAGGTTCCATCAACTAAGATGGAGCTGCTGGGAAACCGAGATCCTTCACTGACCAGTCTGCAACGTCACCACCAAGCGGGGCTGGAAGGAAAGCAGCAAGTTTGTAATGCTGTGGTAGATAGCAAGCTTGCTTCTAGTAAAGAAGTAAAGGATGGCGTGGGAAGGAGGAAGCTGAAAAAAACTGATGAAGCTAGAAATGCCTTTTCAGTGGGTTTAATGGGTCCAGAATCAAGCCAGAAGAGAGAGAATGAAAACTGCAAGAATACTGATATTGTTATTGAAAAGAAAACCGCTTACAAAAGCTTCACAAACCTTTCGAAAGCACGTGCTGAGAAGCAGACACTGAAGGAGCAGGAAATTAAATTCGAAGAAGGTTCCCAAAACACTGGAAACACGGACACCAGTGAAAATGCCGGAAATAGTGCTGCAAAAAAGTCTGATTCAACAAGCAATGCATCTGCTAAACTGAAGAAATTTGTAGCCCCGGAAGCTGTTGTAAAATCAGACAGTGCCAAAACGAGAAAACTGAAAGAGAGTGCCGTTGTTGCAAAAGGTAATGGATGCAGTTTACTGCAGCGAGCAGCTTCTTCTGGCAACATCTGTCCCGGCCACAGCGCTGTGGAAATGGAAACTGCTAAAGCTGAGGGCAAGACGAGAGCACTCCCGCGTTTACGGCCATTACCATCTAACACAGGCAGTGTAGATGAAATTGCTAGAAGTTCCTTAGCGGAAGGCGAAGATCTGAGGAAGTCGACAGTTGTTTCTTTGCGAAAACCACCGAAAGCTCCAGAACTGAGGTCCGTTGGTGAACGTAAATTGAGAGTCCTGGAAGACAGGGACAAGACAAATAGTGAACGAAAGACTGGAAGCACGTCACTTCCAAATGCGACCACTGGCGAATCACAGGCACAAAAATCTTCTCTCTGCGATGCTACTCTCAAACGTAAGTCATCCAAAAGGAGTTTTCAAAAAAATTCGTTAATGAAAATACGATCAGAAATCAATCTTGCTGAACATGCACGAAAAGCTTTGACGGATGAATCGGATACGACATGCTTGCAACGAAAAGCATTGGATGATGAAGCCACCTTGAAAAATCGAATGGCGGGAATTCGACAAACAATCACGGTATGATTTTTTTATAACTGTTTCACGTAAATTTTCTTGTTTTTTTCGGACTAAGCCCGAACAGTTTGTTTTGTTAAGCTTTTCAGCTTCATTTAACAGATAGTTTTGTAAGCTTGGTAGTCCAGTTATCTGAATTAGAGTGTATCCCAGGCTGGAGTTCTTCAGATGAAAGTCAGGCCCATGAATTCCGTAAGAAAAAGTGCCAAATTCAGCCTCTCCATTTTGGAAAAAATAAAATCACTTTACCAAGATCTGATATGTTGACATAACTTCTTTTGTCCGCCTCATTCAGAATTTTACAGGTTGCGAGCTTGAAGCACCACGAAAATTTTAGCTTCGGCTGGCTTAAACTACAGCTCGAATCGCGAGTAAACAAGGAACGAGAGGAGCAAGCTGCATGGCGACCTCGTCGGGATCCGCAAATTTCACCACTTCAAGTTAAAAATGCTCAAAAAGCTCTGAGTATCTGGAAGTCGATGGAGCAGCGCTTTATTTCTAACACTTAGATGATTGTTTTCAAACATTGGTGGATGGTATTTTTTGTGAACTCACCCTCACTAATGGATAGACATGAGAGTGGAGAGGTTAAGTCGTCTTTAGACATAGGCGGATCCAGGACGTACTCCTGGGGAGGGGGAGATGACGGGGGTGGGGAGCGAGGTGAGGCTCCAGGGCGGAGGAAGCACGAAGGGGGGAGGACGGGAGAAGCAGGCGGGGAGAACCGCTCGCGCTCTGGAACTATACAAAAACTAAGAATAGAGTTGTAACACCGATACTTAGAGTTACCTCAGTTTTATTTATGAAATGACCCGAGCTTTTGCAGCACTGGTGCCTGTGCCGCTGGAGGGGAGAAGGAAGCGAAAGTGAATCCGTCTGTGACCTTAGAACGGGCAAAAACCCTAGCAGCACCTCCAATAGATGGTCCTTCTCGTTTTTACAGAGGCTTGTGAACGCACTGATTTATCGATAATTGATATTGTTATTCGCAGTGCTGGGCAATAATTCTAGTCAAGTGAATGAAAAAACTTAACTGGAAAAATTTACGCACTTTTTTTTTGTTTAGCAATCAGTTTTGTTGTTCTTTTACAAAAATTTTACTTGAGAAACCATCTGCGCAAAATTTGAAAACAGTAAGATGATCAGAAAAAATATGTTCTTTTTAATGGTGCAGCCAAAAACATGAATTTTTTCCCAGCACTTATTCCAGTGTTAATAAGTTATTGATAAGTTATTCACTTCCTCTTACCCATGACAATACTAACATATCTGTACAGCATGTTTGCTTGGCATTTTTGCTCTGTTGCGATCCGTTTCAATAATACTTCGGGCCGATTTAGGCTATTTCAGAAATGGATAGTTTGTTGCCTCTCGGACCAATTCTTGCCAAGTTTCTTTTTTCGTCCTTTATCAAACTAATCACTTGCGGTGTACGAACATATAAATTCCAATTTTCCAGTTGACATCACAGAACAACGTAAAGTCACTCACGTTCAAAATTTCATCTTCAAATCAACGATTTGCTATCAGAACAGTGAAGGGAAATTGGAGATAGTGCGGAGTGAAGAAAAGATTCTCGGTCCTTTTACGATCCAAATATTACAAACTCAGCTTTTCAGTGCACTTGAATTTCACGTACTGACACGTGGAAGTTTTAGCGGGAAAGACCAAATTTTAGGAGAATGTTCTTCGCATGCGTACGGAATGCACCGGGTTTAGCTGTTGGCAAAAACGTATGATCACACCACCCCTTTCTCTGACGTTTGTTGCCAAAAGTGATTGGACTCGATGATTTGGTCACTGACCACTGGTCACAGTGGCTACAACCCAAATTCGTATACTGAGTGCACCGGTGCTTCTTACAACACAGAATTCCCTGGCTTCCCTGCTGATATGATCCTGTAATGCCAGCTTATTTGTGAAAGAGAGACTGAGCCTGCACTCAGCACAAAGTTTTGAGAAAAAATGTAGCGGGTCATTACTTGGCGATGCGCGCAAACAGTCCATGTTCGCTAGCGCTTTTGCAAAAATGCATGAACAACGCTGCTGCCTCGGCTTGGAACTAACAACAGGAAGTACAGAACTGACTGGTCTGCAGAGTGGTAAATCGCCGACCAGCTTATACTTAGTGGGGAAACAGCTTACTTTTGTTGCTGTTGTGTTGTTCCGTCTCGGAACCGTCTTTTCCTGGAACTTTCGGCTCCGCGCCACCTGCGCTAAGCCTGCTTTTCTGTTGCTCAGTTTTTTATTTGGTTTGTTTAATTACTTTATTGTTTTGTGTTTTATCAAAAAAAAAAAAAAAATACAGGCAACGATCGAACAACGATTTTCGACACAACTATGGCAAACTCTAAACAACGCATATATGAACAATGACCTGTCACCAAGTGTTTTTTTCAGACTGAAAACACACTCACACCACCAGTGACGACCTCCACTGCGCTCTTCCTCGGACGGAAGCTACACTTGAAAGACTTATTGCCACTGAGAAGCGAGAAGAAGCCAATTATGCTTCGGTTAATGGAAAATCCCTCAAAGTAAAATTTAAGGGCAGGAACGGCAGAGAAACCCGTTTTACTGTGTTTTGAATTCTGAAATTGATGGCTCTGCCCAAGTGTAATTGTCCGTTCTTATTTCTCTGAGGGGTTTTCCAGAACAATATTTGGTGGGCGCCGCGAACTCAGTACATTTTCACATATCAAAATTCACAGTCAGCTGGATTCCTGCAATATTCCGTTCGTCCGTCCGGTAATTTTCGAATTCCGTGAGGACATTTCTTGCGTCCGTGAGAGTCCCGCACTGCCAAGCACTTCCTTTTCGTGTTATTTATTACTAAAATGAAAGTTTATTCGTTATAATTTATTGAATTTCACTTAAATCATCTTTAATCCCTTGTTTGTTCCGCATCATGTCTGGCTTTGCATTCAGTGTCCTGACCTCCTACCTCACTGTTACCCTCTAATTAGACTAACACTGATTCGCACCGTCCAAGCTCATCAGTACAAGTGTTGCACTTGTTGATATGTTTGAAGCATCATAGTGAGATGAATTGCCGGCTTGCAAATCGTTTTTGATGGTGCAGATTGTGAGTATCTCACTGTAAGAACTAAGCAGTTCGTTGTACTAATCACCTTTTTCGCAATTTTTCGATTGCTTTGGACATTTTCGTACGTCTTTTTGCTCTTTGCATTTCAGATAGCGGTGTTGCCGGCCAGAGTCATTGCACATTGTCCATCCCGTAAATTCTTCTTCAATCGGATCGTCCTGAACAAACAGTATTCTTTTCAGATTTCAGAATTTCATTCATCGAAAATTCTACAAGGATTATACTATGTGAACTGTGTAGGAAGTGGCGCATACGTAGATAAAGTGTCGAAGAGCAGCCACTTCCTTATACGTTGAGCTCCAGCAGCATCTCACTTGTCTCGCGAAGGCTACTCACACTAAGAACTGCATCGATCGCGAAACGTAGATGACATAGCTGCCACCATTAATCTCCGTTCCAGCTTTTCAATCCAGCTTACAAAATATCATCTCGAAGCAGACCGTGGGGAATTCGAAGAGATATGGCATCACCTTGCATACGCTCCTGTCAAACGGTGTACAGAATGAAATGAAAAATAGTGTCCTGTGCGTCGATCGGCATGTGCTCGATTCTTCAGTAATCTAGTTCTCAGTATTCTCTCCATAAACAAGAGCTCGTTACCTCTGCTCTAACAGCTGTGTATCGTAATTGACGAGTAGGAGATAGAAACAGAAGTTGATACTCTCTTGCGCGTTTCAGCAACTGGTTTAGAGCAGAAGTATGTTTTGCTCTAGTTACTTCCAAGACTATCTTACTGTCTTAGCTGCTAGTCATCGAGGTCTTTTTTGCCAGTTGGTGATAATCCTCGTAAACATCGTGCAATTATGAGAGATTAAGCAAATCGGGCTGTAATTCTCCAGACCTTTCTTATCGCCTTTGCGCAGCAAAACAATTTTCAACTCTCTCCAAATATCATCATGCCGACATTCGCCAATATGCATTCTCGTTTCTGCATAAATTCAGAAAGCGCACGAAAAATATGTAGAAGGTGAGTAATTCTAAAATAAAAAATAGGACCAAATATATAAAGCACAAACACGTAAGAATTCGGTGTCAAGCTTCTGCTTCTGTCTTTGGATCCTCGGAATTTCAAAATAGAGCATTCGAACACCCTGATCTTCAGTAACGAATACATTTGGCTGCGTCTCACGGCTTTCCGAATTTAGTAAGCAATTCTGCAATAAAGCAACCGAATACAAAAGTTTTTCCAATACGACTTTAGAAAGTGTTCGAATTTCAGCGCTTCAAAAAATGCATGAAGGATTACGATGCGAAGTTAGGGTGACTGCAGAGCTACCTGGTCAACATCATTCGGGTACCACATTGCCGAACGGCATTTGAATGAATATTGTTGTTCAGCTCGGAGACAAGCGATCTGACATTCGCGAAGTGAAGACACATCGACCACTTCCATAACATGCCCAACGAGTATGTGGTCAAGAATTGTTGGCCACAGTTTCAAGGTGTCTTTCGCCAGACTCGCTGGCAAACAAGTCTGAAAAAAAAGACGCTAGAATTTTTGGGAGCTGTGGTTCCATGCTTTGGCAGTGTGGGAATTGCACCCCTCTGCTGATCTAACACTGATTTAAAGCCTTACAGCTTTTAGCAGGTCGAGTAAACAATGTAATGCACTTAGCCAACCACCTCTGAGCGGTATTTATAAAAAATAATGTAAAAAAAGCTATGTATTTGAGAGATTTGTTCCAAAGCTGGCTGCTCTAGAACAATTGTGCTGACTG